CTTTCCTGCTACTTTCTCGCGACTTAGCTGCGACTTTCTCGCTACTTTCTTGCGATTTAGCTGCCTGGTACGTAGCTGGGCCACGTGAGACGGTAGGTCAGGTTGCATTGCCGAGAAACAACATGGATTGTCCAAAAGGATAGTTACCGGAGATCGACCAGGTATTTTGACACTTTTTCCTGTCTTTCGTATAAATTAGAAATGTTGAAGCTATGACAACTTATATTTAGCTTTATTCTCTTTAGATTTTCAACTGTATAAAAGACAAAAACAAGGTTGAAGATGGCGTTTGCCAACAGTTCAAAGACGAAGAGGTAAGAATTCATTACGAACTGTTTCCTCTACATCTTGTGTAACACAGGTACTTGAACGTGAGATTGTGGCGTACTTAAGTTTGGTATCTCAGATTGGGTTTTTACACCTTTTTTACATTCTTGTTACGTCTGGTTTAGTTTCGAGAAACGTTTTATATTTATCTTTAGGATAGGACGGTTGTTTGTGCTTTATTGGGAATAGCTTTGATCCATTTCATAAATGGCTGCCAATTATATATTTTTTGTAAGTATTAAAACTAGCCTGACTAACCTCGGTTTTGAGTTAATAATTCAAAAGAATATTTACTCCCAAACGAGTTCAGTGAGGTTAATTTAAATGCATACAAAATAATTTTAAATTGGCAGCTATTTATCACTCCTAGAGTCCAATCTGGAAGTAATTGATTTGGAAGTAATTGGATAAAAAAAAACGTTTTTTTTAATTCAGTTACTTCCAAATTGGACAAGCATGTAGTCCTTTATCTTCTGATTTATGTAACATCCCAAAATAGATGAACATGATGTATGGGAAATGTTGGAACTGATATATGGCATATATATGTTCAACATGATATATATCGCGAATGTTGCTTGTAGATATAGAGTTTCTCTTCTTGTATTCAACTCAAGATCTTACTTGTTTGCTGCGTGAAATATTGAGTTGAACACTCGCAGAGAAATTCCATACCAACTCAAGATCTTACTTGTTTACTGCGTGATATATTGAGTTGAACAGTTGCAGAGAAATTCCATATCTGTGTATGTCCACGTATTATTCTATATGTATCTGTTGACTTTTTTTCCTTGTTGTGTTTCTTATCTTGGGAAATATACCCATAGGACCTGCAAGTATTTTTTTTTTATTTTACCTATTCGTATTACACCTCAAGTGGGATATTTTACTGACCTGGTTTGCCTCCACAGTATTCTCTATGGTAAACTCATTTTTCCTTACAACAGATGGACTTTACAGCCGTGAGGATGGCAACAGATGGACTTTACAGCCGTGAGGATGGCAACAGATGGAGATTTCCAAGCCCTTGGCTTGGTTTGCCAGGGCGATATACTTGCATTGAGATCATTTGTTCCAAGTACAGACAAGGCAAAAGAAGAGCGAAAATCCAAACTTCTGATACTAACCCATCTACTTAGTACAACTCCCAGAAAATCCAAGGCAGCTTCTAGCAGGGGAAAGTTTTCTCCATCCGATGATTATCCTCAATCACCACCTTGTAAAAAGACCCAGACTTCTAAAAAGATCCAGGTTGGGTGGCAGCATTATAGTGAGAATGAAAAGCGATAAGTCAGTGTACGACTTGTGAAGGGAGGAGGAACAAGGGAAATTTCAGTTCCGATTCAAAGTTCATGTATCGAGGTGCTTAGCATAATGAAAGAGGTTTATTTCCCCGATGGGATGTCCACATTTGGTGATACAGATATAATGACATTCAAATTTGGAAACTTTAAAGGCGAAGAAGTAGAGGAGCAGTTCACATTGGCAAAGTGTATTGCTAAGTACAAACTTATCAAAGTTAGACTTTACCTCTTTACCAGGGCCATCGATGACAATGACAGAGAACTATTGAAACCAGTTTTTGACGATGGACAGGACACAGTTTCTGATGGTTTGCTTGGTACCTCTGATGGAAGAAATTCATTGAGGGAAGATCAGGACAAAGAATGTCTGGATTCTTTGAGAAAACATCAAGAGAAAGAATTAGCAAAAAAGGAAGAGCTTCTCCGTTGTCAAAAAGAATCTGCAATTCAAGAAAAAAATGCAAATTTCCAAAGAGTGGCCATGTAGGAACTGTGTACGACTGGGTGGGGTCACTCAGTTTGACCCCAGAGTATTTCACCCTTTCTATATTTGACAGCATGGACCTCAACCCTGCATTGCCGATTGAAACTGGGGCCAGACAACACTGTTGATGCATGAGTGTGACGAAAGTCTACCATTCCCTTATGAAACGGTGTGTTTCCATGGATTTGGGGAACCATCTAAAATCCCATCTGAAGACAACACGTGGAAGCCTGTTTCAGAGAAGTCACCTCTTGTCTTGCTGGAAGAAGATGAAGCATAAGTAGTAGTCTTAATGATTTTTATTGCATCTTCATACCTTCCTACTGTCAGGTCGTTTCTAGGTCTTCGGCACAAGCTACTGTGTGATTCAAGAGTCTTTTATGGGCTACATTTCATATATCAAAATTCTAAATAGGACTCTGAGGATTGATGTGCAAACTTCATTCTATATTTGGTTTCATTTGGCTTTCTTTGTTTTGAAGTCTCTTCCTGGAATCACGAGACAAAGTATACTTTGTCCTGAAAGCCACAGACCCATGTTTGACTTTTGATATATTGAACATGGGCTACTCATTGTGCACCAACATTCATTATTATTCAGGTATTGTGGACCCAAAATAACCATATGTGCTTCTTTTCTAACAAGTAAACACTTGAAGTGGGTTTAAAGCTAATAGGTTTTTCTGACTTGATGTGAATATTAGGAAGGACACTCCATCAGTAAGTTCTGAAGATAATCCAGTGGCAGTTGAACGTAGTTCTGTTGATTCAGCTGGACGACGATTCAGGGAAGTTGTAAACAGTCTTCAGTAAAAGTAAAACATGAAGAAAGAGGAAAGGAATGACGAGGGGTTAGGTTGTATTTATTACATATCTGTGTCAGTTCAATTACTGTCGACCCATTTGTTGATACCGCAAAAGCAGCGAGACTTATATAACAGATGGGATGTACTACAATCCTAGAAAATTGTTTTACGGAAATTTCCCTAAAGGTAGCGAATATGCTTTCTTGTTCTACATAGAAAACGAAGAAGAAATAAAGTTGATATTTATTAGTATTTTCAATTCTTTTAGTTTCTCAGCTCGGTATCCAGCGTAGAGAAAAAGATTGCGGCATTAGATCTGAACAACGATAAATACCTTGCGATGTACATTTGAGAACACTGAATATTTTGCGAACCTGACAGAGCCCAATGGCCACATTGGCCGTTGAAAAGCTGCTAAGTTCCCGATATCAGATCCCCTATCTCCACGTACAATCCTTGCCGTACCTCCTAACTGTCTTGCGTAGTTTAAGAAATATTGAGCTACTATACGATGGTCGTTGTTTGAAGATGCAACCTCCAGCCATAGGATCCTTCGACTAAAGCCATTAATTGCAGAATCCAAAGGGTTTTAGTTTGTCGTAGCCGTTAATGAGCCAGAAGTAATTTGGCCCTTTACACCTGTAAATTCGTCGACGTAGTCTATGCTGTGACCTATGCTTCACCCCTTTAGGATCAAAAACCCTCAAAACATGTCGAACGGCTTCCCGCGTAGTAACAAGACCGTGCTGATTGATGAGTCTTTGATGCATCCTCGATATCCGAGAAGGCTTCCACTCCCCCTCAGTTCCTCCTCGACTGCTTCTACCACTTCATTCAAATTACTTCGACGCCGGCGTCTTGTACATCCCAACCGTCTGAGTATTCTTTTCAATTGTCTTAACGAGATCCCGATACCATGTACACTTATGAGAAATAATGCGATTTCTGGTGCAGTAAGCCCGAGACTAAAATAGTTCTCAATCATCTCGTCACGCATTACTGTATTGTTCCTTATTGCAGGAGAGTAAGATGGAAGCACTGCCAGCGACGTAGAGCACACCATAATGAAAGTGAAAAGGGCGAAAAACTTCATAACTATACTGTACAGCCAAGGCAAAACAGACTACCGATTATTGATAGGGGTTCACGTTGTTTTCAAATAAGACAACCTGGGTGCCGACGCACGCGGCCTAGCAAGGTTGCCAGGCAGCTAATTCGCAAGAAAGTAGCAGGAAAGTCGCAGCTAAGTCGCAAGAAAGTAGCAAGAAAGTAGCAGTTAAGTCGCAGCTAAGTCGCAGCTAAGTCGCAGCTAAGTTGCAGCTAGCTCGCAGCTAAGTCGCAGCTAAGTCGGAGCTAAGTTGCAAGAAAGTAGCAAGTCGCAGGTAAGTCGCGAGAAAGTCGCAGCGAAGTCGCAAGAAAGTAACAGCCAAGTTACAAGTGAAAAAAAAGAGAGAGAAAAGTGTATTTCCCTTTGAAGCCACCGAACCATATCCCACCCTCATCATTCCCTCAAAATCAAAGCCCACAAAACAACACATCATAAACAAATTCGGCTTACGCGCGCTTATTTGTCACGTGACCTGAATTGGGTAAAACAACAAACACATGTGTTGGTAAGCTATGTAGCTTGACCGAAACAGAATTAACCATGCCTCACTATTGTTGCACCAGAGAATGCTATAATAGCCCTAATCAAAACGGTCTTCCATAGCATAAATTACCACTAGATCGGCCGACCTTATTGTCTGTTTGGATTACAAAAATTAGACGGGAGCACATCAACGAGCACATCAAGATATGCGGCGAACACTTTGTGATGGAAGACTACCTGAATCCTTATTCAGTGAAAAAACGACTCAAGGACGGTGCAGTTCCTTCAATTTTTGCGTGGGATAAAGATAAAAATCAGTCTAAGAAAAGACGCTTCTGTTAAGAAAAGCTGTTTACTCACTTTACTGGATTTAATTCTCATTATGAGTCCATGAACATGTTGCAGTTTTTATTGCCAAACCTAGATAGAAAACTGTTAATTACTGGGATAGTGAAGCAAGCAAAAGTACTGTCACCGATACAGAAACAATGTTTGATGGTGATTATGACGACCCAGATGATTTTAACGATGAAGAGCAAAATTACATTAGTTTAACACCTCATGCAGCACACAAACTGCCAGTCGAGGATAAGTACCTTCTTGTACTAATGAAACTTCGAACGGGTGTAAGCGTCGTTGATCTGGGAGAAAAATTTAATATTGCCGAGAGTACGGTTAACAATATATTCCTTACCTGGATAAACTATCTGTATGTCACAATTGGAAGCATTAATTTATGGCCACACAGAGATATTATTTTACAAAACGCACCTGCAGAGTTCTTTGAGAAGTATCCAAATAAAATTGCGATTATTGATGCAACTGAACTGATGATTGAAGTCCCAAGTGCACTTCAGAAGCATAGTGAAAGTTACAGTACATATAAATCTCACACAACCTTAAATTGTCTTCTTGGTGTCAATCCTCAAGGGGGGATCATGTTTATATCTCAACTCTGTGAGGGTTCTATCAGTGATAGGCAAATAGTTCAAAGAAGTGGTTACCTAGATATCCTAGATAAAAAAGTAATGGTCCATGAAATAAATATAGGGGATGCATTCATGGCTGACAAAGGTTTTGATATTCAAAATGATTTAAAGAAACTAGGTTTGCAACTTAATATCTTTCCATTCTCGAAAGACAAGGTTGGTTTTCAAGAAGATGATTTCATTAAAACCCAAACAATTGCAAGGCGTCGCATATATGTGGAGAGAGCTATTTGCAAAGTTAGAGGGTTTTGAATCTTTCATTCAATCATTCCAGTTTCTATGTTTGGATGTATCAACCAAATATGGACAGTGGCTTGCCTATGTTCAAATTTTCAAAACCCTGTTATTGCATGACCTAATAATATCATTAAAAAAGCTATTTAAGTAAACAATGTATTCTAAGAAAACTTCTCGGTTTTTTGTCACCTTCTATCTACAGTTTAATTTAACAAAAGATAGATCATTTTTTCAAATGTTAATTCAGCTAGCAGAGTTGAACATGTTACAAGACATAAAAAATAGACCAATTTTGAAGTAGTAAAATTCATACTTGGCTACTAAAACAAAAGAAATGTATTATTGATTGCTGAGCCTCGAGATGATCTCTTTTGTTTAATTCCCCCAAGCCTCGCAGCCAAGTATGAATTTTAATGTATTGAAATTGGTCTATTGATAAACCTTTCACCAGTTAAATGTTACAATGAAACAGATGTATCTGTACTGCTTAAAAGTGAAAATTAAGAAACTGGGTTTCCTTGAGGATTATGTATGGCTACCTACAAGTGCTAATTCTTTATTGATTCCTCAACAGCTTTGAGCTCTCTTTGCTTGCCCAACAGTGAATGAAAGTGCATAATTGAAAAAGAAGTTCTTCAATTTGGGCAGCAGCTCATTTTCCCAGTATTCAGAATCAAAATTAATTCTGTCAACACAGATTTCATTACCGTCTGACAAATCTATACAAAAATCACACCATGGTAACCAAGTGAGGGCCAACTACCCTTGTACTTGAGCCTAGTAGAGATGGGTTTTCTTAAGAAAAAAATTAGCTCTGCCTTTTTCAATGTAAAAGCCTGGATCTGATGATGCTTGATCAAATGTATCCCCTCGTTTTGAATAAGGCACTTAATATCCAGCAATCCAAATTTGCTTCTTGATGATGGATCAAACACTTTTCCATCTGGGGTTGCACTGAGATAAGGAAATTTTGGATGAACAGAGATGCCGGTATCAAATATTGCAAAACCTGGTACTTGCTGTTGCATTTTTCTGGCATATATTGTTCATGCAATCTTTCCTTTTCCCTTCCTATGCGAAACAGCTCGTATATTAGACAAATCCTTGGGGCAAAAAATGCTCTTTAGCTTTGACTCTGAAGGCCTCTGAATCCTTGAATTAACTTTTACAAAATTTGATGCAGTAAGTCTGAACTGATGCTTTTTTAAACATTCAGCTGATTCACCTTGCAACACTGTTCTCTGTTCTAAAGAGCTAGATTCACTTTTATCTATCACTCTGTGGTCAGTGAAGATAGAAGTCAAGTCAAGCTGGTTTAATATGTTCCGTTCAGTCAAATCAAAGGATGTCCTGTTGTCAATACCAACTGGGAGATCAGTAAACTCAAAACACTGCACGGTTACATTGTCTGCAACAAAATTGCCCCTTATGCGGCTACTAACAAACCTTGTATTGGGTCGACCATGGTCTTGTAACTGATATGCCAAGCAAGCACCAAGCAGAACGTTTCCAAATACTGTGTTCATTAGGAAGGATTGTTTTTGATCACTTAATAAATAAGAAAATGGAGGAGGGATTTCTTTCCGTGTCAAATTATCGACCTTTTCCATCACATGGCACTTTGGAAGACCTTTTCTCGTGGCAGGGCTTCTTGCATCGTACAGTTTACATTTTGCAGGATCTTTCTTTCTTTCCTCATCACAATCGGTTTTAGCACAGGCATAATGAGTCCCCATCACAGGTAAAGGGCAGATGAAAGAAGTCCCTGCGGATATGCCACGATTGAGGGTGACTAGCACAAGTAACGTCATTAGGCATTGTCATGTATGCTATCACGAAAGTATGATAAGCATCATGGGATGCAATAAACCATGAAGTTTTAGATTCGATATGGCTGTCGTGTGATACTGTACATAAAAGAGATTTGAATTCCTCCAAAACACAAAGTTAACACGGCGCTAAACGACAACAGTGATTCACTATACTCTCCATCAGACGAAAGAGACGACATGGAAGGAAACTCTGCTCCAGAGATGGTTTGGACGAGCTAAGATCTGCCAACTGCGTGGAAAGCATTCAGGCAGCATTGCGAGTTCACGTTTGGAGGACCTCTAAAGCGTAAAAGCGAAGAAGAAAAGTGCAATTATTTGATGATTTGGGTAGGAGACAAAGGTCGTGACATATGCAATACGTGGGAACTAACTGCAGATGAAGCGAAGAAACTCGAGACGTATTACACAAGATTTTAAACCTATGTGAAGCCCAGATCGAACAAGGTGTTTGAGCGCAACAGGCCGGTGAGTCATTTGAACAGTTTCTTACTGAGTTGAAGCTATTAGTTAAAGATTGTGGTTACGCTAACCCTCATGAAATGGTGCGACACCGAGTTGTGATTGGCTGCTATTCGTCAAAAGGACGAGAAAAACTCGTTCACGAAGGCTCGGAACTGACCCAAGAAAAAGCTTTTGACATTGCCCAAACGGAAGAAATATCACAAGGTCAGTTGCAGACCATGGCAACAGAAAATCCAAGCATAAATGGTGTGAAGACAAAGAAATAAAAAACCCCTGTTCAAAAGAAGTTTGGAAAAGATTGTGGTAGATGTGGCTATCAACATGACAAAGGCAAATGTCCAGCTCAAGGAAAGAAGTGCTCAAAATGTCACAAGTTCAACCATTCTGCCAGTTTTTGCCATTCGAAAAACCCAGATAAGAAAGGAGTGAACTGTGTACATGAATGTAGTGATGATGAGTTCTTTATTGGATGCATCACCTCAGTTAATTCTGTAGACACAAGTGAATGGTGTGAAAACCTTAAGATAGAGGACAAAGTTGTAAAGGTCCAACTAGATACTGGTGCTAAAGTTATGCAAGACTTTGCTTCTCGCTACCCCTGCGAGAAGACTCAAGTCAAACTGAAATCCTATTCAGGCCATCAGATTCCTACCAAAGGAGTAGTGACATTACCTTGTGAATGTAAGGGCAACACTTTTCAAGCAAATTTCCATGTAGTTGAAATGGAAGCCCCTACGACACTTGGTGCCCAAACTTGCAAAGACCTTAGTCTTCTTGCCCGAGTGCACCTACTTCAGCAACAGTCTATCAACGTGTCCTGAGGGAATGGCTCAAAAGATTATGAGCAATATTCAGATCTATTTCAAGGCCTAGGTTGCCTTCCAGGTGAACACACAATCAAAGTTGATTCAAGCATTTCCCCTGTGGTACATCCACCACGAAAAGTGCCTGTTTCCCTAAAAGAGAAAATCAAAGAAGAGCTTGATCGGATGGAGAAGGCAGAAGTGGTAGTTAAGCAGAAAGAGCCTACTGACTGGGTGAATAGCATGGTAGCAGTCGTAAAACCCAGCAAGCGTCGCATATGCATTGACCCGCGAGATTTAAATGAAGCAATCAGGAGGGAACACTTTCCAATGACTACTATAGAAGAAGTTGTTGCTGATATGCCTCAAGCAAAAGTGTTTTCAGTCCTTGATGCCACCTCAGGATATTGGCAAGTGAAATTAGATGAAGCTAGCTCAAAGCTTTTCACATTTAATACATCCTTTGGAAGATAACAGTTACAAGGTTACCTTTTGGAATAAAATCAGCCCCTGAAGTGTTTCAGAATCACATGTCAGAGCTGTTCGCAGATATGGAAGGTATAAAAGTGATTGTTGACGACCTCCTAATATGGGGTAAAGATGATGAAGAACATGATGCAAGACTGAAACAAGCGTTAACAAGAGCAAGAGAAGACAATCTCAAGTTCAATGCAAAGAAATAAAAAATTAAGCAAGACGAAGTTCCCTATGCTAGCCATGTACTAGGTAAAGATGGTTTAGAACCAGATCCAGAAAAGATAAGGGCTGTAAAAGAAATGAAACCCCCGAGAATGCTAAGGAACTGAAAACATTCCTCAGATTCATCCAGTATCTGGGAAAGTTCATGCCAAATATGGCCACTGAAAGTGCACCATTAAGAGAATTATTAGAGAAGAATGTTGCATGGCACTAGGATCACCTGCAAGAAGAAAGCTTTCACAAGCTAAAGCAGATGGTCTCCTTAACACCAATCCTTGGTTACTATAATCCAAGTAGGCCATTGTGCCTCTCTGTAGATGCAAGTTCAAAGGGCTAGGTGCTGTCCTTTTGCAAGATGAGAAGTCCCTAGCCTATGCATCAAGAGCCCTCACGCCAACCTAGCAGCGGTATGCACAAATAGAAAAGGAAAGCCTTGCAATTGTGTATGGAGTGCAGAAATTTCACCACTACATCTATGGAAGAACAACAGATGTCGAGACAGACCACAAGCCATTGCAATACATCTCAAACAAGCCCTTGCATGAAGCGCCACTAAGGCTGCAGAAGATGATGCTGATATTGCAGCGGTATGACTTAAAGGTGAAATACGTACCAGGATCTGAACTCTCTGTTGCTGATGCACTAAGCAGAGCATACGTGGAAGAGACTAAAGAAAGCCTCATCCCAGATTTGGAAGTAAATGAAGTTCAGCTTACAGCTCACCTTCCCATTTCACAAGAAAGGTACTGTGAATTCCAGCAAGCTACTGCAGCTGATCCAACCCTGCAAGTCTTAAGCACAGTAGTTCGTAATGGATGGCCTTGTCATAAACAGGAGCTACCATTAGCTGTCTGCGAGTATTGGTCGTGCAGAGATGAAATTTCAGAAATTGATGGGTTGTTATTCAAAGCACAGAAGCTTATTGTTCCTCAGAGTAAGAGAAAAAAAATGTTAGAGCTCATCCACGAGAAACACCAAGGCATAGTAAAATGTAAGAAGCATGGCCGAGACATTCTCTTCTGGCTAGGGATGTCATCCCAAATTGAAGAGAAAGTGTCACAGTGTTCCTTGTGCGCTCAGTTCCAGTGAGCTCAACCAAGAGAGCCAATGATCATTCAAGACCTCCCTGACTGAATGTGGTCGAAAGTTGGAACTGACCTGTTTGAATATTATGGAGTTCATTACCCGCTGTGTGTAGATTATTTACAAAAGATCCTTA